TACTAAGCAACATAAAAAAAAATCTTTTTACCAACTAGTGTTGCTATTGTTTATTTATTTTCTTATAGAAATAGATTTAACCAAATTTAAAGGAATAGTTAATTAGTTAAAATTAGATTTAGGTATAAGTATCAAAATACACCAAAAAATATTCTAATTCAGAATATAGGAATAAAAAAGAATGTCATCGTTCAAATATTGAATATCTTAAAAGAAATTACGAATAGTAAGCAATATAGGCAAGTGGGTAACATACTCTGCTGTACATTAGATTTCGTGGAAGGGTCACTGTAATAGTTGTGTTAAATTTAACACGTTATAAGACTGTCAGTTTATGTTACCTACTATTAATAATATTTAATAATACGATAGGTTGAACTGATTTTTACCAAAAAAAACTGTGTTTAAAAATATTTGAAGACCTACGGACAATATTTTTAAATTATAACAAAATAACTAAAAATTGTTATTTTTCGTTAAAATATATTATTTTATTCAAATTTTAACAAAAAAATTAAAACTGCTATAAAAAAAACCGTGTTTATATATTTTGATTTTTACAGTACGAACTCCTTATGAGAAACCATGTAATACATTTGTCTACCCTTAGCTATAAACATTTGAATTTATATATTCTACATAACATTTTATACATTTTTAACTACAAAATTATTTGCAAATTTTCTTGTTGCTAACAAATTTTATCAAAATGTAAACTTTAAATCCTTATGAAATAAAATTATGCATATGAATCATTAATATTTTAAATTGTTATAATTCCAACTTATGAAGAATATTGAATTAAATTTCAAGCATATTGAACCAACGAATATTATTTTTATCAACATTTATAGAACAAAAACGAAAAAGTTGAATATTTCAAATGTCTTCAAATAATTCAGAGTTTGAGTATTTTGAAAAAACTTTCATGTAGGTACCTATAGAAATTATAAAATAAACATTTGGTAAAAATGTTAAGTACCTATATGGTTATTTATATATTTAAGTACCTATATGGTATCTATATGTTATTTGATTTTGAATTAAAATAATCGTTCCAAATCTAAGATACCTATAGACCGAAAAATATTAATGAATTTTCAAATACAAAATAATTTGGAAATGTTGGTAATATTGACAATAACTGTCAAAATGCTAACATTAAACGCTTGAAAAAATATTGTGAGCAAACATTTAATTTTTTTTTTTTATTGCACGAGTGACTATAAAGATTAACATTAATCCAATTTTAAATTTTTTATACTATCTTTTTTAATAGACATTCAAAGAAATAAATTTTTTTTAATTGTCTATAAATAGCTCCAAATTATCATGTTCAGAAAATTTTAACATAAACATTTCTTGGAAATTTAAAGTATCGATGGTTATTTCGTTCGGAGTTATCCAAAAAACAATAACGATTTTGTCAAAAACTGCAGTTGTCAATTAAAATTCCCATTTCTCCTAATTTTTTTCCAATTTCCTATCTATAAAGAAAAAACTGGGAATTTTCAACTTCAACCACTTAAAAGTACCAACTATATCCAATTTCTACCAGAAACCACCCTCGAAGTTGAAAGTCTAAGAATTGTTTCCACTACACATCGTGTATAGTATAGGTACACTGTATACAAACACAAAAATAAAACACACAACATTGTAAAATCAATACACTCATCGCCCCACTCAAAATCTATGATATAGTTTTTTAATTTTGTATTGACTTAGAAGTTCGAATTGCGTAAAAAAAATACTATCAACAACTTTAATGCGTAATAGTTTAACTTTGGCGAGTGTCCTACGTCCTACTGGGACTTTCTAAGAAGTAATAGTTGATCTACTGGATTTCCATTTAATAAGTGACCTAACGGGTTTTTGATTAACTTTAGATATAAATAGGCAGATGGGCACAGCTAGGGTGTACAGTTGTAGATGTCGTGTAGGTGCGAACTTAATGATATTAAAATATAATTACTTAGCAAAAATGATTCTGAGCAATGACGGTCTATCAGCCTATATGTTAATTGGTAAGTATATTTTATGATATTATTGCTTTAAAAGTAATTTATTTTATGCTATAAGTAATACATTTTTTCATTTTTCTATTTTATTATCTTCAAGCATAAACTATTATAGCTTAATAATTATAATATTTAAGTAATGGTTATAAATGCAATAAGTTTGAAAGCGACTATTTGCAGAATATAAGATAATTAACTGTTTATACAAGTTATAAATATTATAAAAAAATAACAATAATAATAATGGAAATATACAATGTTATTACAATATATGGGATATTGTTTAATTTGAATATTTAAATTATATTAATGAGGGAATAATGAGGAGTAGTAATGGATAAGATTATTATAATGATAGAGAGATAACCATTTTTGGCTACAAGCGCCTTTAAACTAAAATATCTAATTTCGTCCTAATTTGAATTTAAATTGTCAATAAAAAATAGATCTTGTTTATATTTTTTTTGAATTTTTGATTACAGTATAAACCACTTATAAGAAACCTTGTTATAATGCATATTATAGCTCAGCAATATTCAATAACAACATTCTTAAAACTATTCCATGCATAGAAAATGCAAATTTTTATGTATGGTGAAAATGTCAAGTACCTATCTACGATTATTCATTATTGAATAAATTACAACAAAATAATGTTTTAACTTTTTAACGGGTGCGGGGTGAATATTCATTCAAGGTCCTAAACATTTGAAGTTCATAAAATATTAATACGAATTTCCAGTGAGCATTTTTTTTCTGTTAAAACTTAAAAGTAAAAAACGTATGAAGAATCGTGTATTTAATTTTGAAATCTTAGATACAAAAAGGACATTTTTTATGAATTCTAACTCAACATTAATTGCATGATTTTGCATTTTAAATTTTTTGACGGTAGTCGGTAATGTTTATCAACAATAATAAAAAAAAATACTAATAAAAATAAATATTATTTATGCCTATAAATAGCTCAAAATGTTAAAATATTTTGTCAGCATTTTAAAGTGTTTGAAAATGTATTAATGCTTATTTAGTGTAAAAACTTCCATTTCCCTAAAATTTTATTTTGTTGCTAACTTCTGGCAGTTTTCTATATTTACCTCTTAAAAGTACCAAGTACTACCAACTAGAATAGTATATTTAAAATTTTAATACAGTCCGTCACTAGATAACTCGATACTCGAACCTCAATAATTTCAAAAACTCCATAAATCGAACTAAACGCTTGGTTCCCTCTATAATTAGAAGAAAATACATGTATTTCGGTCCCTTTGAATTTTGATGATCCGAAATGTCTGCCGGTGAGAGACACACTACAATTCGAACTTTTTTTAACAGAATCTATATCTGTACTTCGAATTTCTTTATTGTATATGTATAAGATTAAATACATTTTTTATACCTAGGCTACCTAGCTATTATATAACAATTATGTATAAATATTAAATAACCTAATTGACATGATCAAACTAATAACGACAGCGATAAAATATTAGCGTAGTTTATTAGTTTCGAAGTTATCAGTAAGTTAAATAACGCTAGGACCAGATAGTGGCCAACAATTTATCGCAAAAAAAAATATAACAAATTTATTTAATAACATTTAATAAAACATACATGTGTATCTACATTCTACATAAGCATAAACAATAATAAATACAATGTACGTAGGTACATAATACAGTTGTCCACCTCTCTTTAATTTGAATTATTTACTTTTTCCCCTCGAATATTCAAACACTCGAAAACCTCTATAAATCGAAGTTTTAGCTCGGTCCCCTGAATTTCAAACTAACGAGTGATGACTGTATATGAAGAATGTATTGACTTAGTGTTGTGCATAGCTAAATTTATTTAGATATATTTATCTAGATAAATTACAAAATTAGTATTTGACAATAATTATTCTAACTGAAATCCGTAGACCTTATACTCCTCGGTATAAGGTCTATGCTGCCATCTAAGATTGAAATTACAGCCATGTAGATAAATGTGCATGATAATTTAAATTATTTAACATTTATTGATAACTATCAGTGATATTTAAATTAAACTAATATTAGTACTGATATTATGAAGCAAGAAACAAATTTGTTACTAAATTATATTTTTTTAAGAATAAGATGTAAAAAATATATTTTATTTTTACCTAGATACATATATTAAGTAATTTTTTTCATTATCTATACATATCTATATAATTGTTGAGTTGAGATAACTTATCTATATCTAGATAATATACAATCTAAGCATAACACTATGAGCACGGTACAACTTCAGATAATATAATGTTCCCTCGTAATTTGATTGATACATGTCATAGGTCAAAAATTTATCATTTTTATTAGACATCAGAAAAGTTTAACCTATAAGGTGTCTAATACATAATATACTAAATTAAGATGTATTATTAAGTAAAAAGATATGCCTCATTATTAAGTATTAAATATGCATTTGTTTCATTAAAAATATATATATATAAAAAGAACGACCACATCTATAAATGTTATTTTCTATCATCTAAAGTAGGTATTCTAAACTAAATATTATTTTTTTTATACAAAATTATATGTATATTATCTTAAAATTTTGTAGGTTTCCTGCTAAACGAATGGCTATAGTTTTATTAAATAATGATTATGTTAAAATAATCACGCTGTATGTAATATGTTACAGCGACAATGACTGCACTTAGCAGTAGGTAGTATTGGCAGTCAATATTTAACACTCGTTCAAAACACTTGGATACCAACACTCAGGTAAATTTAATGTTCGTTATAATTCTATACATTTGAAATAGATTTTACTGTTTTTAGTACATTTCAATAAATCACTGATTTCAAGAATTATAACATAGTTATATTAATATGAACTAAATAACTAACTAACTATTAACATTAGTTAAAATATTACAGCTGAGCTTGAAGAATAATTTTGTAGGAAATCAAACTGAAGAATACGATTAATCGGTATAATAATAATATGTCTAGTGACAATGGCCGGACTAGTTTGTATACTAAGTTCTATATACTATTTCAGGTAATATATTTGAACAATTATGTTTTTTAGTGATATTCGTTTTTATGAGTTTTAATTTTAGATAATTGGATTAACACTAATATTTTATGTATACCATTGGATTGTTCAATATCGAGGAGGATTTAGTTTAACTGAACCTAAAATAATATTCAATTGGCATCCATTATTGATGACAATTGCATTCATTTATTTATTTGCAAATTGTAAGTTTCAACAAAATATATTATTAGAATTTATAAAACATAATTGTTGAAGATATTGTGTTCCAAAATTTAATTAATATCTTTAAGTAGATTCAGAACTTGTATAATATGAAGCCCCAAATTACCGTATATATGAGAGGTATAATGAATGTGCCTATAGGGTTTTGCAATGTGCGTTGAATTTTGTTTCTAGTAAAAAGTAAGAATATTCCGAAATTGTGATTATCAAATTAGTTTAGTTACCAACCACTTGAGATGTTAGTCCGAAAAAATCACTCATTATAGCACAATAAATATTAGCAACAAACGCTTCAAAATTCAAATTTGTTGGAGGTCTATCAAAATGCATATAATGTTTGAGGGGTTGGATAATAATGATTAATTTAATTTATAAAATAGCATTATAATAATAGAATAAAATTAAGTTCTTGAATTTTAAATAAACAAAACAATTAAATGCTGTAAAAAATATTCTACATTTTTAATTTAAAATGTTCCAATTTTTAATTTAAAATGTTCCAATTTTTTTACCAAAATAGATTTTGATGTAATATTTTATGTTATTTACATTATTTATTTTATTTCCAGCTATTCTTCATTATCGTACATTTCAGAATAATACGAAACGAAAATTAAAAAACCAACATGCACTTATTCATGGTTGTATATTAATCCTTATCGTAGTTGCTGGATTTGCTGCTTTTGTTTCACACCAATATGCTAAACCTCCAATTCCTCATTTGTATTCTTTACACAGTTGGTTAGGAGTTGTCACTGTTGTAATGTTCTTATCCCAGGTAAGTTTACATAATACATAAAATAATAATCTTTATTGATGGAATTCAATTCCAATTACCATATTAACGAGACACAGTGCGCAATGTAAATTCTTAAACATTAATATTAAATAATAAATATTAAACATGATACAAACTTTAAATCAAAATATAATATACCTATCTAAGTATTTAGTAAAATAGGTAAGTATATGAAATGCAATAAACAATCACGACAATAATGAGTTAAGTATAAGTATATAATTAAACTATATGAATAAATAAAATAAAGTGAATATTAGTTTTAAATAGTTATAACTGTAATGAAAATTCATTGAGAGATAAATTAAAAAATTCCATATATTGTATAGTGTTAACTATATAGGGTAATATTAAAATTACGTAACACTTGGATTTGTTGTCTCCGTCTTACAACCATGTATCATAGGGAACATCAGCAGAACACGTTGATCTTCGTTAGTCTAAAAATTAGTGAATATTATTACGATTTATGAAACTTGATAGTAAGTCGGTAAGAACATTTTCTGTATTTATAATATATGGGTTTTTAACTATACCTCAATTTTTGCGTAGGTATATAATAATATAGCGTAAATTCATAACTAACTTATACTCCTTATGAACCACAACCATCTCATCTCTCAATTGGCCTCAAAAACTCAACTGGTGCAGAGATCTTCTAAACCTATAAAATACATTTATATTACTCAGACAAATTGTAATTCATTGTAAAAGGTGACTCGACTGCGAGCCTTCCTACACGTTACTCAAAGCAATTTTTATATTATTTTATTATACCATATCATATTTACCTATTGTATATAATGTACAGATTGTAAAGTTTCAATAAACGCCATTTAAAAAAAAACTTAAAAACTAAATTATAGTAAAAAAAAAACCCCACATAGAAACACAGATGATGTTCTTACCATCATGTTTCATAACAGGTAAATTCACTATAATTTTTAAACGTGATCTACTGAGCATAAATTTGCTCTGTTACGCACTTGTAGGACGGAGTTAATAAATGCTAGTGTGATGACCTTTTAAGACATTTGCATTGAGAATTCCATAAGTAATTTCTTGTAGTGTTTTTGAAATAGAATAAGGACTTATCACGTGGTCCTATAAAGTTTATTTTAAAGTTAATACGTTTCAGTAATTCAGGACAATTAATTAAATTATTTAGTAATTTAAATTCATTATAAATTGTTTTATATAGGTACATAGGTACTATTTTTAAATTTGGTAAATTAAAATATACTTAAACACCTGTATACTTTGAATGTGGAATTCTTTCGACACGGAAATTAAATAAAAAAAACCTAAAAAAGTTATTTTGAATTTCATATAACATATTATGTAATTGATTTAAAGAATTCTAGTGCCATAATATTATAACTGTATGATAGTTCCGTATTCCAACCGTGGCGAACCAATGAGCAATAGGTATAATAATTTTAAAGAAGTCCCTATACTTACAGTATACAGGTTAATATGCCTAATTTCTAAAATACCTTTTTTTATGAAGTCAATATGGTTAGGTGCCAAAAGACAATTTTGAATCAAAATTAATACCAACATCGTTAACCTCAATCAATGGTTGTAAATCTAGGTCATTTAAATAATAATTTACTACCATAGCATTATTCTCTAATAACAACGAAATATTTATGCATTTATTTAAGCTCAAAAATAAATTATTTTTTATACACCAATCTTGGTTATTATTCAATTCAATATTTTGCAAACATTCTATAGATTTTCAATTTGTAATTCTTTTTTTCTCAAATACCTATATAATATACAATAGGTACCTATTCAACAAGCTTACAAAAGATCATTGGACTAATTAGGACTAATAAACGATAATATGGTATAACTAATGAGATGATTAAATATATTTTACCTAATAAATGTGCTTCAGTCTTATCTGTTATTGTTATAGATAGGTATAAAAATATGCTAACCATAATTATTAAAGCGTTTCCAATTTTTTTGAACATCTTATATATATATTGTTAATAATATACATAATATTGCATTTTTTAAATGTGTTATACTCTACAGCTTTTTAGTGGATTCTGGTGTTTCTTGTATCCGGGAGCAGCTGAACGACATAGAGAAATGTTGGCACCGTATCACGTGTTCTTTGGTATTTCCATCTTCATATTAGCAGTTGCAACTGCCGTACTAGGATTCTGTGAAAAAATAATTTTTGCTTTGTACGTGTTATTTATTTTTGACGTGGTTGAACGTTTCATTACAATTTCACTATTTTTACAGGGACAAACAGTATAAACTGCTCCCTGCAGAAGGTGTGCTTGGAAACATTTTAGGTATTCTATGTGTATTTTACTGTTTATTAGTAGTTTATATGATTACCAAACCTGAATTCAAAAGACGTCCTAAACTAGAATATGAGACTCTACTTAAATAAAGTTTTAGAAAATGTAAGTTGTAAAGTTCTGTTTTTTGTACACTCAAGTAAAATATTATACTAAATATCGACCAAATGTATAAACCATAGAACAAACTTTTTTTTTTCATTTATTCGATTTTGATTTTTCTTATATTTTGAGTTTGATGGGTGTATTTGCAAATTTAAATTGTTTAATATTTTAATATTCGTTCAGTATTAGATATTTATATTAAAAATTAAAATGCATAATTATTAGCTGAAGAAATCTGTAATTAGTAATTAGGTAGGTATTTCAGTGACTATACTAATTACTTTACATAATATAAGTCAGTGTCGTACACAGATATTTTCCATGCGTTACATACAAAGTATATTAAACATCAAAAAAAAATATATTTTTTTTTAATTGTATTCATTTTTATATTTCTATGCTTAAAAAAAAGTCAGGGGAGGGGGCAACCCCCCACCAAATGAGTGTACGCCGCTGATATCAGGTACGTGCACAGTTACGAGGATCCTCAAGCTATCGAAATGGAATATTGTATAGATTACCTATAGGTATTTTAAATTATATAACAACGACCAATTAATGTTTATGATGTTGTATAGTATTGATAACGAAGTGATATATTTTATTATTTCTATATTTGCAATTGTTATTTATGATCATAACTCCTCTGTACCTAAATTATAATAAGTGATATCTAATATAATTGATAATAAATGTAGGTATTACATAATATATGTTTAAATTATGGTGAATTGTTATTTAATATTTATTATGCATGATATCAAAAAACTGTTGTCGCAATACACAAACAGTAAACATACATTACAATAGTTGGTTGAATATTAACTTATGTAACTTAACTTAACTATTACAATGTTGAGCTCTGAGTCTTTGACTTTCTTATTCAAAAATCTAAATCCTAGTCGAACACTTACACTGTTATAGTGTTATATGTGTTATAGAATATAGAATATTATAGACTAGGTATTATAATATATAGGTAGTATATAGGTAATATATAGGTACCTATAATGTGTCTTGGGGAGAAGTGACCGTCAGGTTTCATATTATATGGTATACAGTATACTATATTATAGTGTACCTTAAGTTATGAAAAAAACTGTCTTGACTCTTGAGAGGGAGGGAGGGAAATCTTTCATTGAAATTTTTTAGCTATGGTCAATTTTGTTTTATTTTACAAAACCATACTTTTTACACATTCTGGTATATTTTTAAAACTTTTCAACTATTTATCGTAATTTCTTTTAATTGTAAGTTATTATAGTGTGCTATCAGCTAACATTGTAATATTGTATAATTATTAATATGTTAAACAAGATGACTTGTAAAAATTATGTTTATTAAATTTAAAAAGTAAAAAAAAATTGTCAACAATATTATAGACAATAATACTACAACAATACTTTAGAAAGTAATTAATTAATTAAAAAACTTAAAGAGATAGGAACTTTTAAATAGATTTTTTTTTTATAATTAAATCTACCTATACTCTATATCAGGGGTCTCCAAACTTTTTTATTCAAGGGCCACAAAAAAAATCAAATGCTCTTAGCGGGCCAAAAGTTTATTAAAACATATAATTTTTAACTTTATGATAATATAGGTACCTATATAAATAATATATTTACTTTATATTTTTGTATAGAATATTGTTTACTTTACAATATACTTAAATAAAAATAAATAGGTATAATTAATATAATATAATATAAATACATTTTTGAAATAATTTTTTTATCTATATTTACCTATGCGTCCTATGCGGGCCACGGGCCGGTTAAAACTTGTTCGCGGGCCGAGTCCGGCCCGCGGGCCGTAGTTTGGAGACCCCTGCTCTATATCATGACGCCGGTGCACTTCCCCCCGGGATGTAGGTATTGTATAAGCTTACCATTATAGTACCTAGGTAGAAATGTAAGTACCTATAACCAGTTAAGCAGAACTATTTTTTTTTTATGGGGGCTATGGAATTCAAAATGCACCTACCCACCACCCCCCTTCACCACCCCTTCAACCCAATCCAAATTAAATAATACAAACTCAATTTACCTATTATACAAATTAATAAAATTAAGTTATGTTTGAATTGAGACCACCACCCACCCATTAAAAGAAGGGTGGCGACCGCCCCCCCTTGGCTTATGGATTCGGCCCCACCGAGTACGACGATTAGAAAGCTTAGAAAGTCTTAAGCAGTTTATTTAAATTATTTTTCCAAATGTAAATGGGGCATGAGGCCCTACTCAGTTGGGGCCCGGGATGCGATTGCATCCCGTCATCCATTGCCAGCCCGCCACTGCATGTGCGTAATTTATGCATATTCAGATTTTCATAACGATAATTTGTGAACGCAGTTCGATAAAAATCTAAGACTTTATAAATTAAACTATAATATTGTATAATAATTTATTAACTGGTTGAATTGTTTAAATATCAAAATATAACACGATATTATAATGTTATTTATTTACATCACTACGGTTTACTAATAAACAGAGTACTCACTACTCACAATAAAATATTATTTTGTTGTACGCGTTGAACTCTATTTTCTGTAAAAAGATGTATTTTTCGAAAGAATTTTTGATAGGAATTTCCTTCGCTTCTTTCGGTATAGCAGGAGTGTCTTTCCTATTGTCAAGGAGAAAAAAACCAACTACCCATGGATATGGAATGAAAAATATGGAAGACTTCTTGGAGGTAAACAAAATATAATAGGTACATAATATCATGTAGGTTTATATTATAACAATAAACGTTTAAATTCTATAATATTTGTCATTTTTAGTATAACCAACATATTAATTAGTTTCGGAGCAAAAACCTTGTGTGACTGGAGTGCATACCTGCAGGTTCTTGCTCTGAAATGTAATAACCTGGGAAGTCCATTTTGCTTATATTATCTCCGTAACTAATAATCTGACATAACGGTTTGTTACACCGAAATGTGTAGTTTATTTCCTGATCAGGAAACCACAGTAAAAATACTTTTTTGAAAAAGGGGACATATCAGGTTTTGCACAGAAGGATTCCATATACTTTTTACCTTAGATAGGTATAGCTAGTGTTGTTAAAATACGGTATTTTATTTTATTTTTGTATTATACTGTATTATACCTTGTATTATACGTGTATTAAACTTTGTATAATACTATTGTATTTAAGTAGGGTATAATAATTTTTTGTATTATACCGTATTATACACATTTTATACGGTATACATAGGCGCAATTTGGGGTAAATTTATGGGGGTGCTAGATTTATGTGGACCAAAGTAACCCGTGGGGGCTTCGCCCCCCACACCCCCTTCATAACACCATGAATGCATTCATAATACTACCTGATTAATCAATAATTATTAATATTTGAAAAATAAATATATACCTAATACAGGTACCTAAATACGTTTTTTATTTTCATTTAAATATTATACTAAAGAGACATAGCAAAATTATTTATTATTTTATCTTTATAAATTTTATTGCTTAGATCTCTCTCAATATTAATAACTGACAAATCTGTAAATTTTGACTGTTCCATGCTTGTCCTAAGCATAATTCTTTATTCGGCACATAGATGAAAAAGACCTTTCACAAGTAGCTGAGCTTATAGGAATAGCTAATCCTACTTGAATAAGTTTAAAAAAGTTTGGAAAAACATCTTCAGTCACCACTTTCTTTATTCCAAGTATATCAAAATCCAAATTTCCATTTTGTAAACAATTTTTTGTCAGCAACATTTCTGCTTTCAATGATGTTAAATCAATATTCACAACATCCTGAAATTATATTATCCTCACATGATTATTTTATTTACAAAATTAACCTACATTAGATTAATCACAACAATATATAATATACATGGTTGTTAGGTACCTATTTATAATTATTTTGAATTCAATTAATGAGTTATTATTATTTAGTTTATAAATAATTTACTAGTTACGAACCTTGTAATGATTGATGAAATATGAACCTTTTTCAAAATCCATTTTCATAAACTGGTCTAATGAGTTAGCTAAAACTAAACTTTCATCCGAAAAACGGTATTTTATATTATTATTTATTATTATTATTATTATTATTATTATTATTATATAAGTCAAATCTTAGAAATTAATTTATCCTGTTGTCTATGACATAATACGTGTATAACCAATAACAATTAAATGATGCTGTTGAAAATTTGGGGGTGCTAATATGAATTTTGGGGGTGCTAAGCACCCCCAAGCACCCCCCAAATTGCGCCTATGACGGTATAAAATACTGTATTTTAATATATAACATACAATTATACAATTTAAACTTGATTACTCAACCATTGTCCATTTGGCATTTCCTATTTGAAAATTGAGTCTTATTAATACAAATAAAATAGTAATATAAATTAATAATAATATAAATTAAATTCAAAAGTAGGTAATAACAAATAGTCAACAAGTAAAGTAATAATTAACAATTTTAATAAACATAAATAACTCTTTTGGTTTTTTTTTCTAAATAATAACTAAAATAAATGTTTAATGTAAAAAAAGTAAAAATAGTAAATAGTTTTATACAGATTTTATACCATTGTATAAAATAATTCTATACAGCGTGTATAATACCAGTATAATACGATTTTATACATTTGTATTATACAAATTTACATCACTAGGTATAGCCGTATAGGTAGGTACAAATATACAATTTTTAAATTTTTAATATAAAATTAAATGTGCAATGTGCATCGGTGTTTTTTTTTATGGTGGCAAAGAAGCCGTTAGGTATACAAAAGAAGGTGCAGGGAATGCACACACTGCCGACAACAGGGGCAAGTGTTGTCAAGTTAGTGGGTTTCCAATTAAATCTGGTGGGTTTAATGCATAGACATATTAATAAGTATTAATATGTCTATGGTTTAATGTTTTCATGGTGGGATAAAATTCTACTTGGTGGGTATTGTAATTTCTGGTGGTTTTGAAGGAGTTTTCGTGTAATTTTTGAAGACATTTGCTTAAGGCCTACTATCTACCTAAATCCCTAATGCTTTAATTTCACTATATTATACACCTGAATTTGTTTGCTATCATTTAAGGTTTTTTCATCGGTCACTGTTTTCGAGGACTAAATTGTTTTAATAATATTGATAACTGTGATTTAAATTATTATATTTAATCGCCAATCGGTATGAATTGAAATTCAACATAATATGAATTAATTATTGTTTATTAATTCGTGTCAGCGATTTTAAACCGCGATTCATGTGAATATTATAATGATTGTGATTTATAATGATAAGTGATAACCTATTTTTAGCCTCTGTCTCTAAAATAAATATTTTTTATAAAAAAAAAATTTATTGGGAAATTTATCGGATTTTATTAATATTTAGTGTAATATTTGACTCCAGTGTTAAGAGTAATTTTTAGTGGGTTTTTGAACGCTATCTAGGGGAATATAAAAATCACAATCGGTAACACTATTCAGATGACGCGCCTCAGCGACCGTTCTGCAGCTGCAACCACGTCATATATTTTTTTGTTTTTCGTTACCCTATTAACAGCAAGAGATGCTCAACGTCACGATTTGCTGTTATCACCTTAAATTGTATTTGATAATGTCCATTATCCATCACCCGTTAAAACGAAAAGTGTGTACGTATTTATTTCTTGCTATGTTCTTCTTAAACTGAGTGCTTTAGTACATATTTTTGTATTTATATTATTTGTAGAATATTTAAAAATCGTTTGTCAAGCGAAATCAGCTATCCATGCATTCTTTACTGTCCCGGGGCAACTCGGTGCTGGCCTACACGCTGAGCGTACTCGTTACTCTCACGTTCGCATGTTTTCTTTCCACCATATTGGTCGATTACCGGACTGGTACTGAGATGCAGACGCTCAAAATTGAAGTGTAAGTATATTGACCAATGACCCGACCTCCTTGCTTCGTCACCTTTTTGTACGATGGTAGCGTTAACCGATGCATTTGTTTTCAGGAAAAACTTACCAGAGTATGGTGTATCCAAAAAGATCAATGACTTGGGTCACATAACATTCAACCTCGATACAGATATCCTTTTCAAATTTGTATAATATTAAAGTATTTGTTTAGTATGTGACTTACCAGCTATTGGAGGGTATTGGGTATTCACATAATATTTTTAGTCAAAGAAAAAAATCATAAAATTATGTAATTTTATTTTTATTAATTTATTAGTGATACAAATATAAAACAATACAGGATTACATTTTTAATAATGTAAAATCAACTAAACAAAATATCAGTAAAATATGAATATTGGAATACACATAGCTAAATGAATAAAGCAATATGACAAAATTATTCAAAAAAATTCATAACATTATTTTATTGTAAAAAAATGTTTAGAAATACAATTTATGTATCACTTAAAAAATGTATCTTGCCTGCTAATAAATCGGTACCCCTGTACATTGTCCGTACTTATTATAGATAATCGTCTTGGTAAGTCACATACTAAACGAATACCAATATTAATATATTCATAAAATTTTGTTATAAAAGTATATTGAATAACGCTTAATACTCTTTAAAAATGTTTGATCCACACGCTTTTTATATTTAAGTTCTGTGAATAATTTATAGAAATATTTTGATACCACTAATATTATTTTAAAATCAATATAATGAAAATAGTCCACCATACATTCAGATATTATTTATATCTAACAATTAATTTAAATGTAGTATCAATTTCCCCATGTTGCACTCATGTTGACCAACAATTTCAATATTTTGCATTTTCTGATTTTTGTTTATGATGAATGTTGTGAAGAATACTTTTCTTAAAAACATTAAAACTCAAGCATTTCAAGAAAGTTACATAGTTTTTCTGTATTACTGAAAAATGGTGTAAATCCCGGACAAGGTACCAAGAGTCAACTCTTTTTTTTAAATAACAAACCGTTTTTTTTTTTTAATTGAAAGTTATTAATTACATTAAAAACATATATTAACTAACTAATTTAATATAAATATATAATAACTATACTTATTACTGTAATGCCTATAGGCTATAACTATATTTTGAAAATTCAATCATTGTAAGGTATTATTGACTTAACCATATCTGTGCACATCTCACTAGCCTATTCAATTGGAATGTTAAACAATTGTTTGTCTACATGACAGCTGAATATGAGACACCTACAAACGCCTTGAATCAAGTAAACTATACACTTATTATTATGTTAATAATAATATAGTCATATTGCAGTGGATTCCACTTAATGTGGACACGTTGAGGCCAAACTCATTTGCCCACATTAATGGGTCGGCCATATAAACCGAAATTAGTTAGTATACATTGGAAATGGGACAGACCATTTTGCTAATTTTGCCCACATTAGGTGAAACCACTGTATTTTATTTAATTACTTGCGTAATACGTATTTTTTGTTATATTCCATTATTTTATTTAGGTAGTTTTGTGGGACAAGATTATTTTGAGAGGAGAGAACTCCAACTTGCGCCTTAAAAATATGAGAACAAAATATTACTTTTGGGATGATGGTAATGGTTTAAGGTAATTGAATATCATAATAATGATTTCTTACAAAAAGCATTTATATAATATATATATTTGTTTTACCATAAAAATACTTATGTCTACTTTAACACTAACAAATAGATAACAAATACATTGTTAAGTATAATCATATTAGTATATAATGTAATATGCACTAATCAAAATTTAATTATAATTTTGATTTTCAATAATGACTTGGACAGTATAGATTACCTGTATAAATTTTAAAAAGTTTATTCTCAGTTGATACAAATTAAAATCACAGAATAGTATGTCATTGTATAAATAATACTTAAAAATGCTATAATGCTTACTATACTGACAATAAATAAAATTCTTCCTTCTTCTTATACTTATATTAAGTCATTGCTCAAATTAATATTTTTTTTTGTTTCTATTATTTCTTCTAGAAAATTGTATTCAGATTTTATCTCTTCCTTAATATTTTACAAGAAAAAAAACTAAAATTATAATAAAACTAGATAATTCAGTTATTATGTTTTACAGAGGAAATAAAAATGTGACTTTAACGCTGTCCTACAACATCATACCAAATGTGGGTCGACTGCCAATTGTGGGTGCCATCGGATCTCATACATTTAGTTTTCCTTCACAATATACACGATGATCACACAACATTGTTCCTGATTTGAATATATGAATATAATATTATGTTATATGTTAATGTATGTTTTTTCTTCAAAATTATTTTATGATTATCTAAATTTAAGCCCAAATGATTGTGTTCATGATTTGTTTGTATTTCCTAAATTATTATAATGACACAATTAATAATGGCATTTTAATTAAATATTTTAAGAGTACTTTGATATAGCTATCAATGGTAATGTTTTAAGTTTACGTAGATGCCAAAATCGTGTCTGGTTCTTTTTCTGTAGACAGATCACTGGATATTTTCAATAGTTTTCTAAGTGTCTGTAAAAAAAATATATATATATTATATAATATATCCAACAATTAAACCAAAAAAATATTAAAATTATATGAAATTGTGTTAAATGTCAATTTCCTAAATAATTTTTCATAATTAATATTAATAACAAGACAATGTACATATTTTCAAGTATTTAACTTTATGCTATACACATATTTATCTAAATGATAGAATAATTAAATTCATTGATTAAAAAAATATTTATCATTTCATTCATTGAGTAAATATTGAAACTATAAAATATCCTAATATTTTTTTTTGTATTTTCATTAAAAAACCATAATGATCTTACAACAGAGTGAAAAATTCTATTTGTTTTTTACAAAATGAATAAACATGCTTCACAATATAGAATTTATACAAGAAAATATATTTGAGTTTATTTTATTTTCTTCCGTATTAGGAAAAATGGAGTACCTATTTGATTTTTCTCTAACAATTTTTTTTATTTCATTACCAGTGGTCAGCATTAAAAAATATTTAGGCACCACTGGCTAGTTTCTTGTATACGAAACTATAAATACCTCCAATCTAAATATTTACTACACAAATTAAATTTTATTTTAAGACTACATTTTTTGGCTTTCTATTGAAAGTCAATGTTATTTAATCACAAAAAACTTGCTGTTATATAATTTAAATTTAATTTTGTCATAATTGTATTGTTATTGTTTCGAATGGAAGAACTAGTAAAAATACACAAAATATTGCATAGATTGTTTAATAAAAAGTTAATATGTATATTCTCTTAAGAGGACACGATACCCGCCATGTGTTGTCTCCGTCTTACAAGTGCGTAACATAACAAATTTTACACTCAGCAAAACATGTGTAGCTCTGTTAGTTTAAAAATTAGAGTGAATTTACCTCTTATAAAATTCTAAATTGTTTGTACTCCTTAAAATACTTATAACTCGCTTTAAAATTAAAATATAATAAAAAGCACATGATGTTGCCTATAGTCGCCTAGATAATAATCTTACATTTACATTTTATAGGAGGTAAACTCACTCTAATTTTTAAACTAAAAGAGCTACACATGTTCTGCTGAGAGTAAAATTTGCTAAATTACACACTTGTAAGACAGAGTCAACACATGAGGGTATCATGTCCTCATAATGATACCTACACTAGACACTGGTACAAATGATTTGAATGATGGTCCTGATTTTGTATTTTAATTTAAAACCAAGTACAAAATATGGCTGTTAACATAATAAAACAATGAATAAAATATATTTTCTTTATTCCTTATTTATATTTATAATCATAAAATACCTATTATGATCTGACTTATTTAAAAAAAAAAGCATTTGTGAAATTGTCAAAAACAACTTGTGAGTCTGATGCTCACACAGTCACACAAGATTAACAGTTGTTATTGAAAACATTGCTGAAGGGTTAAGTTTAAGGTCTAACTTATTTTAAAATGCAAATACTCAAAAATTTAAAACTGTATTTATCAAACTAAAAATGCTAACTTAGTGGTTATAAAAATTGCTTATGGAAAAATGACAATAAAATTAAAATTGTTTTATTTTACAATAAATTTTAATATTGTTGAATATCCTCTGTAACAATAATACAACAGAATTATGTATTAAAAGATGATTAATGAAAATGTTTAATTTGATTTGAAAAGTATAAAAAATTAAACTATGTTTAATTTTTTTTTTTAATATTTAAGTATGTATATAATAATCAATAATGTAATGTGTAGTTAAAAATGTTAAATAGGTAAGAAGTATAGTTTTGAAGTGGTAAAAATTAACTGTTAGGAATGTGCGATATTAGTATAGTATTTTATACATTTTGTAAAATAATGTCTTATGTACTTATCTAACTATATTCAAACTACATTAATAAATTGTTTCTTAACCTGAAAGGAAACAATTCCAGAGTAAACAAGTACCTACCAAAAATTAGTCTAGTCAAGTGGTTAGTTAATTTACTATTTTGTACAAAAAATAAATAATTGAGCAAAATATTATGACTAGAAAAGTAGTGCCAATAATTTAAAAATAGAAACATAGTCAAAACAGTGATTATATAGCTGTAGTATATATCTACTGCATATTATGATGATTAAAGTATGAATAACACTTTATTAACAAAGCCAATTTAGTTTAAAAAAAAATAAAATACTAAGTTATACGTACTTGGTTTTCAGTTTGTAACCTGCCAATAGTTTCTTCCTTTTTACTAGCTTCTTCAGCTTCTAAACGAGAGGCAAGACTCATGACAGCCATCATTTCTTTGATACGTTCTTCCTGTTGAATGATCAATGCATTTTTCTCTTCAATCGTCTGAAAGATAAGGAATAAGGAAAATTACTTTTATAAGCCTATTACTTACTTGAACATAAAGTATGACTAATTTTACCTTTGCTGTGAGATTGTTAACAAGCTGACCGGCACTTGTTTGGGAAACAAGATGCGAAACCTGTGATCTATATTTGCTCATAATCATCTCGAGCGCAGTCTGGTGCTCAGCAACCATTGCTCTTAATATTCGGTTTTCTCGTACAATCTCTTGTAGCTGCCGACTCTCGGTGCGTATCGAGTTGACCAGTTCTTCATGTGGCAGACCTCCCTCTTCCATGTCGTTGAGTTCTGACAAATCGTCGGTATACTAGATAAGCAACAGCAAAAAACATAATATAATCAGTAGGCACTAGACCTGGATAAAAACGACAACTGTTAGGTGGACTTAAGATTTAATTGTTGGAATCTCATATAATTTTATTGTTTGCAGAGGCTTGTTATGTATCTATTGAATATTAGATTCATACATAACCTTTTGCATTAAATTCTTATTTTGTAAGCTCAGTAACTCTAAAATTATGGGGATGAGATGATTGTTAATAAGCGGCCAAGGGGGAAATCTATGGAAAATTCTAGACGTTTGAGAGCTAACTAAAAATAATTTGTATACCTGAAAGCTGATTCGTACGGATAATTCATATAATAATGGTGAGGGAGTCTAAAGCTCCATCACCAGACACCAACCCAAAGTCTACCTATGTTTGGTATACACCTACATAATAATAGCCAATATAGTTATTATCTAGTTACTTGTTTCATAGCGTCGATCTTCTTGTAGACGAACTGGGCTTGGGACAACAACGAGTCGGCTGCTGTGTCGTGTTCTTTGAGTTTGGACGCCAGTCGTTTGGCGTCGGACAATATCTGCTGTACGGTGACGGACATTGCACCGAAGCCGGTAGACAATCACCTGCAAGTTTCGATGTAATACGAAAATTTCGACGATACCGTATTAATATTGTCTTCGTGGTTCTCGGTGGACGTCTACGAGACGACGAGACGTGTGTACAACAGCTTCTCGAAATGCCATTGACGACGATGTCCGCACTCCACGAAGCACACGACGGAGACCACAACCATGAACCGACGATTATGATTTATGACTATATTTAAGTCTGAAATGGAATAAGCGAGCGTAGGTAGTCAAGTAGGTGGCGGACCCTTAAGGTCTAGGCCGGAGTGGGGCAACGATCGGCGATACTGAAATTTCCAGTCTTGACATACTATTTTAATAATATTATGGGTATATTATAATATACAATACGTATGTAGATATAATTATGACATAATATTGTTTTATAGTGCTCGTGGCTCGTCGTATGCGAATAACAAACGGACGTGAACACGACAATTAACAATTTTTATTGTTGTAATATTGAATGCACACTGAGTACTAACGTAAAACTGTATAATGCGTCTCTACCTCGCAACTATAACTGTCTAGTCAGTTTTCACTTGTCATTACCCAGCTGCAAAGTGCAAATCTTAAAACAGTATTCACTATTCTGTATCCACTATCCTGTATATTGTAAACTTTGTTTACTGTTATCTCGACATTGTTTTTTTTTCAATATTATTACAATAAATTTAAGCAAAAAAAGTATATATGCCACTGACTGATATTACAAAGAATATTTTGGTGATATTACTGATATTACCATGCATCAGCTATCGTGGGTGGTGGGTCTCTATTATAGTTGATTAGACCACTACCGTCGTTATCATTTTGCTGTTATCAAAAACGAGATTGTTATCCATGAACATTAGAGGATATTTTAGACATTTAGAGCATAGACGTATTATAAACTAAGTTTTTACTATTTTTTTATAAGTAATACTAACTTAGTTTATAAATTATAGCCTATAGGTCTATGTTTTAGACACAGACTTCTTTCTATTTAGATCACACATGAAAAATTGTTGAAGAATCAAATGCTTTGTTTTTCAACGGTTGAATAAAATTTGAATTTAGAATTTTATTGACATTCATAAAAATAATACTAAATAAATAGGAAAATGAAAGTGTCCAGTTCAAAACAAACATAAATATAATTAGATTCTGAGTGGAACGATGAATGTATTGATTTTACAATGATATGTGTTTTTTTTATTTTTGTGTCTGTCATCACCTTTTAGGACAGTAAAAGTGCTTGGATTTTCATCAACAGTCAGTGGCGTACGCAGGGGTAGGGTTCCAGGGTTCTAACCCCCCCTGAAATGTCTTCCTTTTACAAAAAAATCATATTTACCCTCATTTCATAATACACAGTTATATTACAATTACCATAAATTGATGGTAATTTTTAATAGATATAAAATCAATTGTTAAATATGACAAAGACGTCGATAATCATAGTTTCAGTTTTTTATTGGCTGATTTAGAACATTGCTAAACGTCTACCACAATCGTTGTATGGTGTATCATCGTCCATCGATTATTACCACGTGTATTACGAGTTACGACACGAAGAGGCTATAGAATGATGACCAGATGTCCAGGTTAAACACTCGAGTATTCTAAATGAAGACTAACTATAATTTGTTAGAACCAATTATATTAAAACTGTTTAGCAAAAAATATAGTAAATTAATTACATGGGTAAAACCCTAACCGAACGAAAATCCTGCGTACGCTACTGTCAACAGTATCTTTTCTCGTAGGAAAATGATTCTAATTGGTACTTTGGGGAGTCAAAAGTATAATTTTTCTAGTAGTTTTCAACAGCGCCTTGAAAAACAAAAGAAAAATTAAGGAGAAACGGGAATTTTTACACAAAATCTGTTTTCGAAAAAATTAATTTTGGTTTTTATGGCAACTCTTAAACAAATGACTATGAAAATTTCACTGAATGTTTATATTAGCATTTCCTATACACCATACAATTTTGAAAATATTTATAAAAATAAAAAAGATTGTATAAACAAAATATAATGAATTCGTTTGATAGATTTGACGTTTCTATTGCGAAAAGTCTGGAAGGAGTTGTTACACTATACCTTTAAAATTTTTCATTTTTTTTCCACACACCCATATTAGATTCTGAGTGAAACGATGAATGTATTGATATTACAATGATGTGTGTTTTTATATTTTTTTATTTTTGTGTCTGTGTACACGATAAGTAGTCGAAATAATGCTTCGATTTTCGACTTCAGTATCTTGTTCGATTGGAAAGTGAATATCGTTGGTGCATTGGGGAGGTCAAAATTTAAAATTCACAGTACTTTTCAAAAGCGCCAAGAAAAACAAAAGAAAAATTAAGGAAAAACTGGAATTTTTACGCAAAATCGATTTTTCAGAAAATTGAATTTGGTTTTTAGTGTAACTTTAAAACAAATGACCATAGATACATGAAATTTTCACTGGTTGTTTATATTTGCATTTTCTATACACGATAACATTTTCAAAATATTTTGATTTATTTTGAACTGTTTAGGGACATTTTCATTTTTCATTTTTTTTTAGTTTTTTTTCTAGAAATATCAATAAAATTTTATTTGTTGAGTAAAACAACTTGAAAATTTAATAGAAGGCTCCTGCATATCGTTTCAAAGACAGATGAAAAATATTAAAAATCGTTAGTCACAGTTTTTTTTATAAGCAATTTAAAGTTCAAAAATTGACAAAATATGGAAAAATCGCGAAAATTAGCAAATTATTTTGAGTTAAGAATTCGTAAAAATTTTTCTTTTTATGTTTTAGTTACCAATTTTTTTGAGTTACATTTCTGTTGTTAGTAGTTATTTCAGCACACGCCCGTCACCCACACATATGTACACACACACATTTACACACCCACCACACACTAGTCTTGCCGAGCAAGTCTTTGATAGTCTTGCTCGGTGAACCCGTCCACTTCGACCGAATTGCGAATACATGTATGCACTCATCATACGCAGGTCTTTGGGGTGTGAGTGCGATACGAAGTATTGTGGATACCAAGGTCTATTGTTGTTCGTTTCCGGCCCAAACACTCGTTTTTAATAACTGTGTTTTAGCTACTAAAATTAAGGGTGTCAGAAATTAAAACAATTAGTTACACTTTTGATTCGTTTATTAGGCATTAGAAAACATGAGATAAACTTAGGTACAAAAAATATAAACAGCAGCTACAACACGTCGCGGAGCACATGAAAAGTCGTGCACAGCGGTAGCAATTTTAATTTTAAACAACAGTAGAACACGTCCCGTCGGCGGAGCACATGACCGCGGTCGTGTGTATAAACAGAAGGAGGCAGAAGTACAACTGATTCAGGGCCTCGGCCTGGAGAACCCGAGGAGGTGGCTATCAGCGGGACCACGCTATCAACTGTAAGTATAGAAATTATATATAGGTACTTGACAACAGAAAATATTTTACAGTTTAGGTGGTATGTTGGAACGTACCTCAATTTTATAATTGTTGACGACATTTAAACGATGGTCATGACTTTCGTCATAAGCCCAGTCAGACATTATTTTCTTTGATCTTACCCTATACACCATTTGGTAAATCACGATATGCGTTGTAATTTGTCCCCGCAAACTTAACAGGCTCTGTAAATAAAATAAAAAATTAAACGACAATATAGAAAAAACTTGTGTTGATATAGTTTCTGTCGTGCTTTTTTTTTGCTTATTATAATATTTTTAAGTTCTTATATGAATGCTCAGGTATATGAAGTATTTAAGTGCTTTTTTTTATGTATATAGGTTCTCTAAATCCCGAACCCCGGTTATGACTGTTATGAGTGTATACAATTTTACAATTTAAAAATTCACATATCCGACATGTTCTTAACTTTGTTGTATAATAGGTCAAATCACCCTAAAACTAAAGATAACAACACAAGGTCGGTTCTGCTAAACACACATTATGTATGTTGAGCGTGGGTTAGAGAGAGAAAAAAAACTGTACAGACATCCTCTTAATAACAACTGCAAAAATTACAAGAAATAATAATATAATATTATTATATACAATTTGTTTTAACAACAAACCTACCCATAATATGACTAATAGAAAAATTAATTACGAAACAACAATATAAATACCTATATTAAAATACCCATACAAGTTACTAAAAAAACAAGTCCGTCTCTTCTCAAAATCGTTTTTCATAAGCAATGATTTATTATATAGTTATTATATAAAAAAAAATGCTAACATATCCATTACAGTGACTCAATAATGTGGTACACACAACACTTATACAGCAGTAGATTTTTAAACTATTTTAAAACTAAAAACAATTACCCTCATCCATCCAACCCTTGGAATTCATTATTTTTAGTTTCTTTATCAAACATTTTAATGTCGATGACATCCCATGGTTTTCCATAGACGATACAAGTTTATTGATTTTTTTGTTCAAATCATATGACGTCTGGAAAAAAAACTATTTATATTAAACAATTTCTTCGTAGCAATTTTTTGTTGTTACTTTTGATAATATTAGCCCAACTGATTGTAATATTATACACAAACAGTGCATTTGTAGTTCATAGTTGTTGTCATTCTTCTCTTTACCTAAATCTCCAATGCACTTGAGTATATACTTTTCTGGGAACGCGCCGTTTTTAAACAGTACGCCAATAAATCTATCAAAAGTAATAATTTACATAAATAAAAATAACGAAAGTGTTAATTAAATAATACTAATTCAAAACACACCTGCAATTGCATATGGATCTTTTCTGGAAATCGAATAGAAAATTATTTAGAACGCCGGATAAACACTTCTTCGGTACCTGGTAAACAAATAATAGTATGTATAAGTATTATTGAACCAACTTATAAAAATTAGTAAACTTATTTTGAATTCAGAATTACATATAATTTCATACAGGATTTAGGAATAAAAATAAAACGTATAAAGGTATTTTAATAATATGTTGAGGAACCATAGATGATAATAATCATAAGTCATAACAAAATATAATGACAACATAACTATATTTACCATATTATCATTTTTCATTGTATCTTTTAATTTATTCAATTCTTCTTGATAGTTTGAATAAAAAACATCGTGACATTTTTTTAATAACACTTTTTGAAATGTTATTTCTGTATCGGTAGCAATAAGATTATTAAACTTGGAGTCATTGATCAAACGTGCACACATCTGAGCGTATATGTGTGTATAATTTTGTCTTTTTAAAGCCTAGATGGATACAGGGGCGGACTGGCAGATCGGGAGATCGGGAAATTTCCCGATGGGCCGGTCGAATAATCGAATTATGGGGCCGGACAATTTGGTTGTACAAGCATAGGCGTGCGCACAGGGCGTGCCGGGCGTGCCCAGGCACGCCCCGAGATTTTTCAAGGGCCGAAGCGCCCTATGTCTCAAACATGCTTATCAGTACAGGAGAACTGGGGTATCACCAAGTCATCCTCATCCATGACAACAATACATAAAAAAGATTTGAGCTCATTTTTGGCATGTTTATGATGCATCCAATATTAAATCTTATTTTAAAAGTTAGCTCAGTACTTCAATCACTAAAACTAAATCTTTTGTTGGCAATTGATAATGTACGGTCTTTAACATTAAATCTTAAAAGTATGAGAAATGAAAACAAAGAATTTGAAAATATTTTTGAACAAGCAGTTGCTTTATGTAAAAAACATTGAACAATTGTTCCAGACGTTATTCGTAGAAAAGTATCGACTCAAATTGATAACAAATCTAAATCTCATTTTTTTTTTTTAAATAAATTAGATGAAATTAAGATATCAGTTTATTATGAACTACTGTCTTGGTGATTTATTATCGGCAATGGATTCAAGATTCAATCAAGAAACTTTAAGCTTAATTGAAGCTATTGCTAGTCTGCTACACATGGAAATAAAACCTGAAATGATTGATGTTTTGGCTAAGTTCTCATATACATCAAGTACAGGTCTAAAAACTGAAATAAAAATTTTAAAACATTTGCCAAAATCTAATAAACCTAATGCTACATCTAGTGAGTCCATTTATTTGTGGCTTGATTGGCTGAAAACTAACAATAGTATTTCTACCTACAGTTGTTTTTATAAAACCTTACAATTATTTACTATTATCCCAGTCACAAGTTGTACATGCGAACGAGTCTTTTCCAAAATGACAATTGTAAAATCAAAACTTAGGAGTACGATGAAACAGGAACGATTAGATTCGTTACTGTTACTATTCACCGAACAAGAGTTGACAAGTGGGATAAACTTGGATTCTGTCATCGATGAGTTCAATACCTTAGAGGCTTAGAAAATAGACGTATGAATCTGTAAATATTATATACTAACTAAACTAACCAGTAACCAATAATAATTAATAAATAAGTTATAATAAAAAAATGTGACTTGTTTCTGCTCTATTTTTTTTTTATAATATCTATACTATACTCTGTCTATGTGTGTATAATGTATAATTCAAATTTTCCACGGGCACGCCCCGAACTTAAACTCTGCGCACGCCTATGTGTACAAGTAACTTATTACAATTTTTAGATTATAATAAGAGTTTATCAGTTTTTGGTAAATTTAAAATCTATAGAATATAAAATAAATAAATAGTACCTTAATATAATTTTGCTTTTCTAAGAAACATACGAAACATAAGGTATTTATATAAATAGAAATTACGCTGCCGCCTGCCGGCCGCCGTCCCCGTGTTGTTTATAAATTATAATATACGATAACGATATATTATTAATTCGATGTATTATTGTTGTTAGTTGTTATATAATTTAAAAATATACTGTTTTCGTCCGGGACTAACAACACTGTCGTCTGTGATATTATATAAAATATAAATATTACTATTTACTTATTAGTTCATTTGTATTTTGTATTGTCAAGTGGAAAGATTACTTTCGAAGCAATGTTTACGATCATAACCTCAGCTTTTTAAAGGTAAGTCAAATCAATTTTTAAATAATACATTATTTTAATTTATTGTAAAGAAAGTAAAGTTATTGTTATAAGGCCTATACATTTTAATCTATATTCAATTATTATTAAAAATTGGTTAAATGGTTTAAAATATAATAGAATTATTAGTTTTAGAGGCCTATCCGGCTATCCCCTATCCCCTATTTGAATTTTGAATCCCACCGTCCCAGTAAACAAATCTACGAATATTCTACGTATATTAAACGTATATACCTATACGTATGTACGTGTAATATACGTATAGATTTAGCATATTTCTAATATATGATTGGGTCAAACAATGACTATTTCACTTATATTCAACGTATAATATACATGGATAAGTGGTTTATTTAACGTAAAACATACGTGTATGTTCCGTATAAAAACGAATAATTTTTTAATAATCTCGGAAAATTATTCGTATATTTTTTGAATAATCTTCGTGTTTTCAACGAATAATTTAGGTTTATAGATCGTGTAACATAGATTTAAATACCGTTTGTACTTGGTATATAATTCGTTTAGAACGAGTTTAAGATATGTATATTGTTTAGTGTATTATACGTAGATTTCTTGTATAACTTTGGTTTATATAATGAATATTTTCGGTTTAATACCGTTTATTTTTGGTGTATAATTTGTTTAAACTCGTGTAGGATAAGTATATTTTTAGGATATTATACGTATATTTTTGGTAGTCAATTCGTTTAAAACCAGTGTAAGATATGTATATTTTTTAGGATATTATACGTAGATTTCTTGTATATCATTCGTTTTTATAATAATTAGTTTTGGTATACAAATTATATTATATTATACTATATACAGTTTTGGTTTCATATAGTTTATTTTTGGTATATACCTAACAAATTATAATTCGTTTATATCCAGTGTAAGATTTGAGTAGCCAGGAGTAGCCATGAGTAAAATATATAGATAAAAAAGCAATGGCATTGGGCTGTTATTTTTTTTTTATAAAAAAAAATATTAAGTAAAAAGCTATGGGGTGGTTTAAAAATTGTTGAGTAAGAACATTTTTTTTAAATTTATAATATATTTCTCATAGTATAAAATTAATTTTAAATATAAGACATGAATACATGAGATTGTATGAATAGTATGCATACATATTATATATATTATATTATAAAATATACAATTTTAAAAATTAAAAAAAATTCAACTGAATATAATAGTATTTGCTGCTATAAAACTTTTATTTTCGTCTTGGAGCTTGTTTTAGCCAATCACTGACATGTCCCTTAACTTCAATGAGTGATGAATGAGGAAAGAAATCTTTTATGCAATCTATTCAAAAATAAATAATAAGATACAGATAAATTAAAAAATATATATAAAATTTTTAAATATGTTTACCTGCCACCGTGGTAAATATTTTATATTTAGCAAAAGCTGTTTTGTCACCTCGCCTACCCTCCATATTTAAATATTCAGCTACACGATTTTGCATAATCATTTTCATAGCCATATACGTTGACCGTTTGACATCAAATGACTTGGAGTCTCTCTGTAAAATTTGAGCCTAACGAAAAGAACAAATTAATTAGGCTAACTTTCATTTGTAAAATCAACTGACAAGACAAAAATACCAATGTGCCAATTTTTCCATCATCTTGTTCAATAATATTTAAATCTTCAAGAGTATTTACAGGAATTTTTAAACTTCCTCTGTCGATAGCTTGCCTATTACCTAAAGAAGGTGTTAAGCGATTTGAATTTATAATTAAATCAGTAAGCAGGTCTTGGTTTTTAATGACATCTAATTTAATTATGGAAACTTCTTTTTGAAGACTGGTAAAGTTATTTGAAACTAAAATATCAAAACATTTAAAAATTAATTATTAATACTAGGTAGAAAATACAGTATATTATATTATATACTATGAGAATATATCAATAGGTACCATTCATTATAGCATGACCAATATTATTAATCATTTGATATAATGATGTTTCTACTTGTTCCTGGCTTTCATTTTGAGTACTCTTAAATATTTCTGGAGATGAAGTATGGAGATCCATATGTTTTTGCCCCTGAGTTGAATCTTCATTGGAAATCGGTTCAAATATATCAAACGATTCTAAAATAGTTATCATAATAATTAGTTTTTTAAAAAAAATGTTAGTATACATTTTAGTGATTTTATTTTATTTATTTAATAGAAATCATTGTACAAAGATTAATTATTATATATTATTGACAGATTTTAAATATACCTTTTGGCTTTGGTGTACTAGTATCAGATATTTTGTTTAATATACTTGGCTCATAATTTACAGCTGTATTTTCATTTTTCTCGATGGTACCATGTGTTATTTGAGAAACTAATAAAAAAAAAAAAACCAAGAACAATAAAAACTAAGTGTTGTATACAATTTTATATAATACTGAATATTAGGTAGTATATTATTTTAGTTTACATTTTTATAAACTAAGGATTTACCTTGATTCTTTGTTTTTGAATGTTGGCCTTGTTGGGTGTATACATTATTCTCATTTTCTGAAAATGAATCATAATTACGTTTCAGAACACGCTTTCTTGGCTTCCATATATCACTATTTTCAATTTCTGTAGTACTGGTTTCGCAAAAATTGGAAAGTTGACGTTTAGCTGCAGAAAAATTATCTGGTAATAAAAAAAATGTATATGGTTAGATAATATGTTCCACAGTCAAATAGTTAGAAAATAAATATAAATATAAGAATTCTCAACGTTTAAAAAATGGTAATATATAGTTAATAAAATACTCAAAAATCAAAAAAAAACTTACTAAAAAACTTCCGAGGAGAACAAGTATAGCTTTCCCAATCGTGAAGTGGTTTTTTAAGAGAGCTTGATAATTTGGAGACATTTGGTGAATTTGGCCACTGACAAACAAATTGCTTAAGAGTATTGTCAACACTAATCCAAATTGATGGTACAACATCTGTAGATTTTTCATCTAAAAACTCTACAATTACGAATCTGTACGATTTCAATTTTTCCACCACTACAATAAAATTGGCTGAGAGAAATGAATCTATAAAAAAGTCAACACTTAATTTTATATGTACATTTAATTTAAAATGGTATATTCAGTATACATAAAAAGTTATAATTTAAATCACATATACATTGATATTTTAACAATGGCTAAAATATTTATATTACCTGACATATTTAATGCAACACCAGATCTAATGTC